AGCAACGGCCTGCAACCTAATAGCAACGGCCTGCAACCTAATAGCAATGGCCTCCAACCTGATAGCAATGGCCTCCAACCTAATAATATAGCAATGGCCTCCAACAGAATGTTGGATTCTGGATTGGACAAAACCCTCTACGGTCAATGGACAAAACATGACAAAACCTATCTAGAACTGAATTGTTAGTTGGTCTGGACTCAACAAAAAACACCTTCAACTGGGAACGAAGCGACGTGGGCCTTGAGCCAGTTTGGGACAGCCTGTGCCGCCCAAAACAACAGTGACTTAGGGGATCTATGGGGATCTGACTTTCACCTGGACTCATGATGTGTAAAAGGCGATCTATGACCACCACCCTGCTTGTCCAAGTCGCCGACTTGAGCCTTAGGCTTCGGCTTCGGCTTGGCCTTGGCAGCGGCTGCTTGTTGCGCGGTCGCAGCCTGTGCCGCTGCTTTGGCCTTCGCTTTGGCCGCCTTCTGCTGCCTGAATGTGAGGGAAGGTGTGGGTGTCTGAGGGGTTGTGAGGTGGACTGGGATGGTGTGCCAGAAGCAATATAATAGCGCAAATAATAAGCGCAGGTCAGACTGAAGGCTTGGATATATATTACATATATATATATAGCCCCTTCGAACATGTCCTGGAAAGAATTGAGAAGCCCAGAGTGGCTGAGTGGCAATCATGAGATTGAACCTGTCAGAGAACGGGGAGATTCGCACACCAATTGTCTCGAGCTACAACTCTAAAACTAAAAACCCTCACTGCTTTCATGATCTTTCATGATTGAATTCACGGACAATGGTCGTGTCGAAGTATGGCTATCGGAGTGGCTATCGGCTATCTCTACCTCAGCCTCACGTTGAACCATCAAAAGAGGTCGGTTGACCTGGTGCTGAGTACTGCTGTAGTGTACAATCTCTACTAGAACAGTGGTTGTTCAGGCTAAACGAAATCAATGCTGCTTGGAATCCTAGGGTACCCATAATCCCATGTAGACAGACGTCCATCATCTGGCTGTGGATCATGGCACCGGTGGTACCGTTTGGAACACCGAACAAACATCACCGGTCATGGCGGCCTACCAGGGGACCCACAACCTCAGAGGGTGAGTGAAACCGGGCTCCAGGTGCGACCCACAACCCTATCAACCCTACGCACCAAAAGGCCTGACCACCTCAGACCCCCGCTGACGGCGGCAAAGGAACCGACCTCCTGGCGGTGAACACCGAGACCTTCGCCTTTCCAACTCCGAAAGAAACCCTAGGCTTGGGGGCGATGGTGTCCCACCACCACCGCTGTGGAGGATTGGACACCGCTCTCTGTCCCGTTTTGGGATCCGTTTTCGTATCGAACCGAATCAGGTACGGTGAGGACAGAGACACCGAAACAGGGTCGGGTGCCAGGAGGTCCAGTCCTACCTTCGTTCGGTACTTGGCCCTCAGCATTTCCTTTTGTCCAGGCTTGCCATCACACCATATCACACCTACCTCGTGAAGGGAGAAAGGTTCTGGGTGCCACAACAAGCAAGCATGAGCAGCTCATTCCCACCACGCCCCCCTTGGATCATGAGGTGACACCGATCTGGACCTTGGCCCAGTGCGCAAAAGAAAGAATCCATCTAGGGATGGAAGCAAAAACTCAGAGACTATAATGCTTCTCTGGCTGTCGAAATCACTCCCTCCGGGTCGAGACCTCGATGTGTCCGTCTCCACCGTCTCCACCGCGCCCACCGCGCAACGTCGAAGCACCGTCTCAGGTCTCTCCCTCTCCCGCCGCTGCTTGGGACAAAGGCCAAGTGGCCGGAACTTCTCCTTCTTCAACTCCCGTTCCTTGCGCAGCTTCTCCATGCGTTCTTCAAATTCTCGGGCAAACCTCGACAGTTTTCATGGTTCTTGCGGTGTATAGGGTGCGGGTCTTGAAGGCCTTCGTATTGAAAGAAGCTGGGAGACTCCAGCTTAGCACGGCAAAAGTGTCCCAAAAACTTCAAGGCCCTAAGGAAAGGAATAACTCCAATTATGCTGGAGCAGAGAACCACAGTGGAACCGCGTGATATGTTCGATCTATCTCCAAGGGCCTCTTGGTTAGACATGCTACCTTGGTCTACCCATGTTTGAGCCCTTGGTCTACCATTCAACTTGCTACCTATCTTTCTCGAACAAGCTACCTATCTTCGGCTTCTTTGGCACGGTCCGCTCGATCTGAATCGAGCGGACTGGAGATGACTGGAGATCTATCAATTAAAGCTAGCTAGCATGTCACAGTGAACACCTGCCACGCGTGCCTGCATGTCAACTACTACTGATGCTTTGCTGCAAGACATGTTTTCTCGGAGAAAAAAAAGAAACGTTCACCTTGCTTTCCCTCTGACTGACAGATTGTTTTCATGGCCTTGCATGAGACAAAAAAAACATTTGGAAGCAACCTGTACTGGCTAGTTTATATATTACTTATAGTCAATTGTGTCTGCTAGTTGTTCAATGTAATGTTTTCTCAGTTTTCAGGTTGCTGAACGCCCTTTCCCAACAGGTAAGATCCCAGATTACTTTTTTGAAAACTGTACTTTTGCTTTGTGGGGTCGTTGCCACCGACCCAACTCGGACGCGCTCCATGCGCTCGGAGGTGGTCGAGAATGGCGTGGTTTGCGATCGCTCCAAGGAGCTCCTTGTTGATGTCCACGATGGGACCCCGCTGGGCCTCCAGCAGTGACAACAACTCCTCCTTGGAGAGGTCGTCGATGGTGGACACGCGCGACAAGACGTCTTTGTACCTGGGGCGGAGCGGAGTTGTTCGGCGGTTCGGTTCCAAGAATTGGAGGGACGTCCCGGATCGGGTCTGCCATGGTGGGGCCGGAATGCGGCCTCGTGAGGCCTGGTCTTGGGCTTTACTCAGAACCAAAAAGTGTTGATTGGAGCGGCTCGGGGGGGTTCGATGCCATGCAACGGAGGACACCTTCCTGCAACAGAAAGCAATGCGAACAACTCCGCGTCTGACCCTGTCGATGGATCATGATTACACTTCCAAACAACTCCTGCTTGAGTGCGGAAGTAGATACACAATTTCCACAGCATTGCGTAGGTATACTTGGTCCTTGCGATGGAAAGCAAGGTATATAGAACTTAGTTCCTTACACACTTCTCAACATGCATAAATGCTTCTCACAGGTGCCCCATAAGAATGACACCAAGACACCAAGACAGGTTGAACCGATTTCAGGGTACCGCTTGGTACCGCTTGTGTGCTTCCCCCGGATCCACTTCTAGTCACCCGATCCTGCAGATGTGCCAAGCTCGTTTCATCTTCTGGCCAAGCTCGGTTTAGAACGCCCAGAAAGAGGGTCAAATTGAAAAGGGGACTCGCTCCACCCATCTACTATCTATATAGTATTTCTTTTTTAATAAGAAAAACCAACGGCCCATCCCAGTTCAAACCCAAACCAAAACTCCAGACGTTGACCAGCTTGACCGAAAAATAGCGGAACTAATTAGCGGGTTCCACTTGGACGTCCAAAAGGAACCGGAAAAACCACGGCCACGTGACAAGTTCATCATCAAAGAGTACGAGAGGTCATCGATATGCATCGATGCATGAGCTACATACAGATCGGGCCCATCGTAGTTCGTAGGTCCTCCGATCCTGAGTTCGATCGACGCTTGCCAGGAACTGATGAGATGAAGGGAAAACCAGTTGTGAACACGACTTTTTGTAGCTAAGCTGATATGATTTAATGATTTCTCATGCTAAACTGGCATTAGAAGACTGGAAAGCACCCTCCAAGGGGGACTACTGGCTACGATGACTTCTTATGTTTTCTGTAGGTTTGCTGGTCCATGATGATGGGGAATGAAAACCTTGGCTTTTTGCCATGGGTCCATATGGGTTGACCCAGCCTCAGTCAACTGCATTTTGTGAAGAATGAAGATCGGTGGTTCAACGCGTTCAATAAAGACACCAGTTCTCAAGGCCAAAGAAAGCCTTTTTGTTTGAGCAGGGAAGATCTGGTATTTTGACATCACTCAAAACACATTACATCACGATGATCTGCTATTTCTACTGTAATTGCTTTGCTCATCTTTGCTCCACCATGTCCAGTTTATAGTGCATGGGGTGATGGATCTCTGATCAAGAGTAGGATGGATCTCTGATGTCAAGCTTGCCAGGGCTTGTACTTGGAGCCCACCAGATCCAGATTTTACACGATTTACAAACCACGTCCAAAAACAAGTCTCCCACATGTTGACAATTGCAAGCGTCATAGCAAAGGAAGAACCTTGACTGTCTTCTCAGGCAGTTTCACAAGGTTAAACCTAGATTGAATCGATCACAAGCACAAATGAGATCAGGGATTTTGAAGTGAATGATTTTGATATCCCAAAAAAGTGTCAGCCCTGAGCCTGGGTTTCCCTTTACCCCAAACTCTTACCCACTTGAATCTCCAAATTTGCTGGCTTTAAGCGCTGAATTTGATACCCAACACCACCAAACCACCGCTCGATGTGGACTCCTGATGAATTTTCACCACCAAACCTGTGCCACATGAATTCAGTCGACCTCACTCCATGGACAGGGATGGGTTATACCTGAAAACTCGACCTCACCAGAGAAAGAACCACACCAAAACCACACCAAGCTACAATTTCCAAGTCACCCCGCTTCAGCACCGCGCCAAGCTCCTCCACCTACCCACTCACTCCCTCCCACACGCCCTGACAGTCGAAACACCTGTCGGTCACGTCGAACCGAGCGTCACCCACTCGAGCCACTCCACGGTGCGCACCTTCAGCCGATGGAAGGTCTTCACCGTGGGAGCGAAGCGCTCGAACTGCGGACCTCGGCGGCAGAGCGGTGCGGTTGGCGGAGCGGGTTGGCGGTGGGCGACGAAAGCGACTCGGTTGGCACGTGTGGACAGTGGTTGGGACGCGGCCAAGTTAGGCGTGGTAAGGTCTGGCGCAAAGAAGAAGAAGAAGAAGAAGAAGAAGTGTGTGGAAGTGTTTGCGGCTGAATTCAGCTGGTATTTTTTCTGGTGGGCGTTCGGAGGATGAAGATGGATGAAGTGACTGATGAAATGATGATGAGAGAGGTCTTGGTGAGGTTGGTCCTTCACTTTTGTGGCTTGCAACAAAAGTGATCAGATACCCGGTCGCTTTTTGACGCGGATGAAACGAGTTAGTTTCATCCAGAAAAGGGCAGAAGGTGAGCCTTGGACCTGTGATCACACCTTCATTATGGATCTCTGAGGCACTCTGTTTGCACTTGGCACACTCTCCCCTGGGTTTGTCCCAAAAACTACTATATAGAGATATATAGAGCTTAATGGTTTGTCTGGTTTTTCTGGGGTAAAATCCTTAGTAAAACAACTGTTGTTCGGGAATGCAGGCATCTTCAGGCTCTGAAATCCATGGTGAGCCAGGAATCCTTCCAAGGCCCTATAGAACACCACTTCGGACCACGCACTACCCCGCAAGCCTAGCAAGCTGTCCGCTCGCATGAGGTCGTACAACTCAAAGACCTGGGCGGATCCCCAGGCGGATCCGCATCGCGCGCGCGATCTGCGAGGTTCGGTCGGATCTGGGGGGAATGTCCGGTTGGTTCGGTTCTTCGGGGTGCTGGGTTGTCTTCTTCCAGCATGCCACGGGGTGGAAGTGGAGTGAAAGATGGTGAAATGAGATGAGTCATGACACATGCCAGTGATCATCCATGACCCATGAGTGTCCGGGAGTGATACGGACATCTCGAAGTAGAGTAGGGTAGTCCAGACAGGACACCCAGACAGGATGCTCCTATGGTCCTATAGTGCATATCTAGCACAACAGTGGATCCCAGTAATTCCACTATTATAGGAACCGGGTATTCTATGGATGTCTATGGTCTTAGTCGAACTGGGACTGGAACCTGGTGATTTCAGTTTCACGAGTGGAAAGCGCACCTGTCCCGGCAAGACCATTGGAAATCACCTCCAGTTGCAGTTCACAATGGAGAGGACACCACCATCCATGCTGGATGCCCTGGAGGAGCCATCATCCAGCAACCACCCCTCTTTCACTCCTGGCGCTAGGATTCTGATCGTTTCTTTGGCAAAAAGTGTTCCTGTCAGACGGATGGCGAGTCGGAATCCGTTTCATCGCTGATCAGGTTTCATCCAATCGGTTTCATGCCCGTGATCGCTCGCTGGGTCCAGTCCACCCTGGAGGGCAGGTTGACGAGCCTGGCAGGTTGACCGTATTCTGTTCAGGTCGTCTACTCTGTTCGGTCAACCACGGTCTCCCAGGAAAAAGGACCCACAGCCATATGGCTGGGTGCATGGTCTGATTGGCCCCCAACGGAAAGCAACATGGGGCTTCCCAACTCGAAAGAATCATCCGAGGGTGGCGTGCAGAAGAATTCCTCAGTTGACTGGATGCTGGTGGTACCACCATTATAAGGGCTGCCCCAAACGCTCTGTCAGCGCCTATATAGTCAATGTGGATGATTTACCTACATGGAACATTTACGCTATTTTGCGGTCTAAGAATGGGAAACCAAGTAGATTGGTTGTTCCAGGATTCAAACCATTACAGTGGTGATATTGCAAAACCTTGCAAAACCTGGTTAAGGTCATTTCTTATGAGCCTGCATCCAGTGATGCTCAAGTGATTAACGTTCCATCTATTTACGGCAGCCAAATGAAGCTTCTGGCAGCCAACCATGGTTGTAGTGGTGTTTTGTACCCCAGGCGCGTGGATGTGCATTTGGGCACACCACCCAGTTCACCTAGGCCTAGCCACCCCGATTGGATACTGTAGGAACTCTGGGTTCATGGATAGCGAACCAGCATCAGAAACACAGTGCTTCATACCAGCACCTAGCTGCTCTAGCTTTTCCAGCCAGGCTCTCAGCGTCTGGGTAAACCCCAAATCACCCGCGGAGCACACTGCTCCGACGGCCATGTGACGATGGCTTCAATGGTCTCATGCCCTCCCAAGCGCTCGAAGAGTGGAGGCTCGTCGTCCATGGCACGGGAAAAAGGAGAACCAGTTCTGATGGATGAGTGGATTCTTCCGAGTTCAAACATGTGAGTGTTTATTGCTTGAATAAAGCTTCAATAAAGACTTCCATACCGAAGCTGTGGTGTTCATCGACGGCCCTTGCAGACCCTAGCAACGTGCACCCCCCACGCCGACCAGAGTCTACGAATCCAAAAAAGATGCGATGTGTTCTGTCTTCCAACTTCAAAAAAGAGGTGATGTATGGTGATGTTCTATTGCTTCCATTTATTGTACGTACAATATCTTTCTATTGGCAAATCATAGACTCATATTGACACTTCAGTGATCTCAAGATTGACCGGAGGCGCAAGCATCACTGACAACAAAAATGCTCGAACAAAAAAAATAGTCTCTTGGTTATTTATGTAGTTATGCGTCTTGTTACTATCTGGAATCTGTTGCGTCCTTCCAAGTGAGCAGTCTTTAAACCACCCGAAGGCCAGCACTTGTTTTGTTCCAATCGTTGGGTGCTCTCAGCCGCTTGGCGACCGGCACCTGTCTATCAACTAATCGTGTAGCACCCTCTGCGCTCGGGCCAGAACGGGCCGGTCGGCAGCTTTCGGTGCTTGCGGTGCGAAATTGCCCAGTTGGAGCGTTCTACTGAGCTTTTTCCTGGGCTTGGTGATTTCATGCATGTAAGCCACCATGTTTGAAAAAACTCTTCACATACAAGACTTGACATACAGTAGTCAGTAGAATGACAGTGATATAATATTTACGTAATATATATTATATATATGGCCCATATATATATATATATAATGTCAAGAGTTTGAAGATGAATGGAACAATTTTTGTATCTCTGGACCAACCTTACAAGAGGACATGGAGTAAGCACTGCAAATGGAGGGCGGGCATCAACCTCTTGCTCGTTCTTCGCCATCAGAGTGGATAAAGATATCGAGCAGCATTCAGGCTGGCCCTGTTTGTTCCAGGAACATGGTAAAGACATGGACGTGCCTACTTCTAAGTTCGGGTACTTTGGTATCCAATGGCAGATTCCAATTCAACCGGTTAGGATGAAGAAAAACCGCAGAACTCCAGTTCCAACAGACTCCTCCAGAAATCGTCCAGACTCGTTAGGGATGCATCGCTTCCCTCATTTCTTCGCCAGCATCGTTTTGTTCTTCAATTTGGGATGGATCGATCCAGGCGAGTTGGATGTCCATTTGCACATCTGTCCGCCATGATTGGTCGGACACGATTGATTCTGGTGGATCGGGGTCCCAGGAGAACCTCACCCAGATCCATGTGGAGCTGACCTATTTGACTGATCAGTTCGGTGCCGGTTGAAAACAGGGGTCTGCTCTGGGGTGGCATCTCTTCCAGTCCCTGGAAAAGACCTCAGTTGTCGTCGTGTCTGATGTGTCTCCGACCCGGTGGACCGCGTGGTGGACCCGGGTCGCTCGGCGTGGCGTTTGTTGGTTCGGTCCGGTGGGTGGAGGTTCTGGAGTTAAAAGATCTAACCCCTCCGCCAACGAACATGGAACCTGAGAAATCATCTGTCACAGACCTATGTTCCGAAGACCAACTCCCAGTGTTTTGTGATGTTTTGTGGGGTTCAGAGTGAATCTGCATGGGGAGTAGCAGGGGAGTATCCCAAATGGAGCATGAAATTCTCACACCCTACACCTTGGAGAACTCGCAGCCCATGCGGAGGGGATGTGAACGGTCTGGGTCGGCGGAAGGGTGGGGGTGAGCATTGAAGGATGGGGCGGCTCTCAGAACTCTTGCGCAACAGCACCCCCGCTAATCAAGCCTCTTTCGGGGAGCTCTCCGAACCCAACGAACCCGAACCCGAACCCGAAGCGAAGCGTCCGAACCCGGTTGTCATGGAGGTTGGGTGCCGGGCGACCGAAGCGTAGAGTCAGGAGGAAAGGGTCGGTGTTTTGACCTCACATCCATTCGATGGGACGAGCCACACGGGCCCCAACTCCATGTGTACTGTAGGTACCCCGCTTAAGAAGCGAGCAGACCCAAGCACCGTCGTCCCGTTCGCCCTTCGCATCGACCCCCCGAAGCCGATGTCCGGTCGTCCGCCCCTGTCGACAGCAGCGTCCTCTTCCTTGGTATAGCCTTCCGGGATCGGCCAAGGGTCAATACAGTCCTCCAGCCGCAGCAGCAGGACGCTGACTTAAGCGCCGATTAGAGACCTAAGGGTCGACCTAGGGACCTAGGGGATAGTCGACCTGTAGGGCTCCAGGCTGCCCCCCTTCGTTGCGGTTCGATGGTTGGGGTGGGTGCTAGGGCCTAACCACCAGACCTGAGCAGATGGTTGGAGGGCTTAGGGGACGTCGAGCTTAGACTCGTCTATAGGGCCTTTGGCGGGGGCCCCACAGATAGGATTCCTGTTGGTTGGTCGGGTCAACCTTCCCACCCAGACCAGACCATCCATGGGACTGGAATAGATGCCTTATACCAGCAGAGGTTGAAGAACCCTACAGACTATCCTATATAGTACCCCTGTAGGCTCCTATAAGGTCACTTAGCCTCTGTAGGTACATTGATTGACCCCTGTGCTCAACCACCCCAATTTAATGCCAGACAGCTTGTGGCAGATCCCCGAGGCCTGGTCGTGTTCTTCGTGTCGCAAGATCGGTCGACTGGATCATCGAACAAGTCGTTCGGCTTCCACGAAACCCCACAAGTCCAAGACTTCGAAAGGCACGAGCGAGGGCGAGCCTTTTGGAATTAAACGAATTGAAACATGTGCACGAAGTGCTGCACGTTCTCCATCCAAAAACTGATACATGTGCTGATATGGGTGGATCAGTCTGTCTTTGGTCCGTGAATTGGGGGTGTCTCCTGGTAAAAGGATTTCAGTGCATTCGCCCGTGATGCGGATGTCACAGTCCTCGAAGAAGCACAAAAGTTCTGGCAGAAGCATCGGCCGGCCTAACCAGATGATCGACCGCTGGTGCCGCCCGGAACTGTCCGTAACCCTTCACTGTAAGAGTTTTGAACCTCCACATCTCACTTTTACCTGCTTTTCACAATCCTTGTCAACAACCCCTCCTCTTAGAGTCTTAGTGCTTCACCACCCAGCTCTAGGCTCTGAAAACTCTTCATATATACTACCATAATGTGTCTATCTTTTGTGGATCTCAGATGCATGGCCTTCACGTCACCGGCCCACCCCAAAAAAAATGGATCCCCAAAACTCTGGCCCCCAACTCTACCGCTTGAACATGCTCGAACCCATGGACCCCCGATCTGCATGTGTTTTGAAGCGTCTGGCGTGGTCCGCGAAACGCCGTCTGTCGAACGCCTCGCCTGCCACGGTGTTGTCATGGGGGCAGTGTGCAATGACGTGCTGCGTGGGGATCAGAGGATCTAACCAGGTTGGATCGCTCAAGTTGCTCCAGTTCCCTCAGCGACCACCGTTTCGGCCGTGTGGATGGCGTCATGCTGGCTGAAGACGTTTCATGCGCAGGGTTCACAAAACCCAGTGGGAGGCCTGAAGAGGTTTTACAATCCACGTCTGGGCTTGATGAATCAAGAGTCTGTGGAGTCTCAGTATACTTGAAGTTGGGTCCAGGTCTACATTGCCCAGCCTTGTAGCAAGGCTTTACTTGGACTCCGTGAGATGCACGGGGCGGCCATGTCTGACGGGCGTATGAGAGTGACCTAGGCTTTGACCATCAGAGCAACTGTCATGGTCTTCCACATCACGCTGGAGCGGCTAGTAGTCCAGACAGGACCACTCCAGGGGAGTGATCAATGCAGGCATCATATCTATTCCAGTCCCATCAGTCGTGTCGTCACGGTGTCGTCATGGTGTAGTCCAAACTGCTATGATGTGCGACCCGGTCATGCTATGTCATCCAAGTCTCTGAACAAATCACTATTAGGTCTTCCCACAAATATTTCATCAAGTCTTCACTCCCGGCAGCTGCCACAGTCCTCCATGAGGCCATGAGGCCATGACAAACCAGTCGGATCCTCCCAAAACACATCCCGCAACCGCCATTATGGCCCTATGCAAGTCCAGTTTGACTCAGTAAGCACGTCCTGGTTCAACCTGCTCTGTCAAAGTCTTTCTTCCCGACACGACGTGAGGCCCGTCCAACGTCCGCTCCGCTCATCCTGTCCTCTGTGCCCGAGCGTCCGTTGGTCCAGCGTCCTGCGCTGCCGTTGCTGAAGTTGCTGACATTGCCTTGGGCGCAAAAAAGGTCCAGAGATGACCAGAGATGACCTGTGACCCGTCAACCCGGATTTCCTCCAGATGTCAAGAGGAAGAAAAAGGTCCAATCAGCAAACTGAGGAACACCCCTGCTCCTAAACTGCTTACTGGGGGATATCTTTATACAACCTTATATGGAAAGCGGGGTGTCTTTAAAAAGTGATAGGACCATAGAGGACCCCTCGTCGACCGGAATTCCGCTCCCAGCAGGGGCCATGCAGCCCGCTCACGAGGGCATGGGGCTCCTAAGGATCTACGGATCCATCCTCTGAGGTCATTAGGGTGATTGGACCCGAGCCTGGCGCCGAACCAGACACAAAGAGTCGAACACATCACATGTTCGCCCGTAGCTCAGAGGACGGATCCGGATACATCCCTAGGGACTGGGATTTGCTAACCAGGAACCCGGGAAGAAACAAAACATCTTCCCTAGGTTAGGGGATTCACCCCTAGGGCTTAAACACAAGAACCACCTCAAATGCAAAACCAGCCAGGATGGACAGCCTGTTCACTCACACATCAACCACATGGATCCCGATCCTGGCCCAACGTTGCCCGAAAACCCTTTCAAAGTGGCAGCGGATGCGTGCAGAGCAAGTCACTCATGTTGCTCATGTTGTACTCCATGTCATCCTCCTCATCCTGAACGTCTGACACCCTAAACACCAGCAAACGGCAAGCATTCTATTCCGAGACATGGACACCGAGCACCTGAAATGCGAATCCAACTAGACAACCGGAAAAGAAATAATTAAGGAATTATATTGGAGATGGGTCCAAATC